AAGACTCATATTGCCAGTATGAGACAAGGTGTGAGATGTTAACGGTTCCCTGATGGCTACTGAGACAGACCATAAACTGACCCAGTGGGGACATCAGGATAGAACATTTTTCCATAGACAAAATTCCCATGCTACCACTTTTTTTTTTTTTTTTTTAAGGCTGGGTGTTGTTTGCTATGTTTCCCAGGCTGCTCTGGGGATCCTCTCCTGCTTCAACCTCTCAAGTAGCTAGGAAAACAGGTCTGCACCATGCCTAGTGTCCATATTACTTTTAAAAGAAAGATATAAGTGAAAAGTTGATAATCAGGGATTATTGTTTTTAAACAGATATGATCAGGAATTTCCATAGATATAGGGGCCATGTATTAAACTACAAAATCAAGTCAGATGGTCTGAGAACATAAACACTGACAAGAACAAAAGTAAATTTTTGAAAATTTAAGATTTCTCCTCTGCAAAAGGTCAACAGAGTTAGACAAATATTATACATGTTTGATACCTCAATTAAAGTGCTAGAGGATAGTGATTCTGACAGTTATAGTAATTTTCATGGTGCTCCAGGAAATTTTTATTTAATCATTACAACAACCTTATGAATTAGGTGCCATTATTACTCCCACTTTACACATGAGAATAAAAATTCAGAGACAAAGTCAATTATCCCAAGTCACACCACTATAAGCAGCTGAGATGGGATTTGAAGACAAACAGGCAGGTCTACAGTCTATACTCCTCATGTACTCACTAATTTGTCCATGCTGACCTCAAACTCGAGGTCCTTCGCCTTCGCCTCCCTGGAGTAGGTAGGATTACAGGCATGTGGCACTGCACCCAGCTCATCTGTACTTTCTTTCTTTCGTTCTTTTTTTTTTTTTTTTTTGGTTCTGGGGATTGAACCCAAGGGCACTCAACCACTGAGCCACATCCCCAACCCTTTTTATATTTTATTTAGAGACAGAGTCTCACTAAGTTGCTGAGGCTGGCTTTGAACTCTTGATCCTCCTGCCTCAGCCTCCTGAGCTGGTGGGATTATATGCATGTGTCACAGCACCTAGCCCATCTATACTTTTAAATTCTATGTCATAGTGCCTTTCATAAATAGGATAAGATATAAGAAGTTCCTAAAATGCCTACTGAATCACCTGAAAGCATATTCTTACATCACATTAATGTCAAGTATGTTTTATTCCATTCAAATTCTAGAAAAACTGGGTCATCCATATCTAATACTTTCCAGTCAAGTCCCCATTCCCCAACCACTCTGCAATATGAGTTTTCCTCACAACTTCTTTGTACTTTCATGTCACTTTCACATATGTCTGTGTGTTCCACATGCTCTGGGTCATTCCAGAGAGAAAGAATGAAATTGAGCAAAAAGAAAAAGACATTTTTTAGGAAAACAAAAACAAAGTAAGTTCCACTTGCTATTATAAAACACCAGAATACAGAATATTAAATGATGATTCGCTGAAAATTGGAAATTTCCAATTTTCATAACTGAAGAGTTACGAAAATGAAGTCTACCATTTTTCTTAACCAAACAAAAATTTCCAGTTTATGCTTTTTAAGAGAATTTCTCTCACCTTCTTTTTGGCTCCTCCTTAGGATCTCAAAGATGCCAATTCAAAATGTTTCTTCAAAATAATACCACTCACAATGAGTTTACTCATTCCTTAGTGCAATTTTATAAAAATCAAAACAAATAGCCCAAATGATTTAGCCCCAGATGCATTTTCATGTACTTACGGTGCTCTTGTTGGTGATACCATATAAAAAGAATGTAGCAAGGACCCAGATGATTGGCCAGAGCTGTTCACTAACTCACGCTGATGTGCACTGGCTTGTCCACCAGTGGGCGTTCATGCATTTGCATCTTTACACAGTGAGAGCTCTTCATCCCCTTTGGGTTCAGGAAATAGAGTGAAGACTCGATTATGAGATGACTGCCACTTGGGTGGGAGAGGTCTTCTCAAATCAAATGTCTTTTCCTTGAGGGAAAACCCAACTTCTTTAGATACATTTTCTTGGCATTTAAGTGCAGTTAGGCGCTTCATTTCATACTCCCTTTCAAGTTTGAGGGCTAAAAGAAGAAAATACATGAGGCAATCTGACTGGCATTTTTCAACAGGCATAATTTAGTCAAAACAATATCATAAAGTTATGTTGATAGCTTCCCATTGTTGAATAATTAGAAATATGGCAAGGATAAATGTTCTCTCTGATAAGTGGATACTGATCCATAATAGTCGGGGGGCATAAGAAAAATGGAGAAACTTTGATTGGGCAAAGGGGCGGGGGGACAGGAAAGATGATGGAATGAGGTGGACATCATTACCCTAGGTACGTGTATGACTGCACATATGATGTGATGCTACATTGTGTACAACCAGAGAAATGAAAAGTTGTGCTGCAATTGTGTACAATGAATAAAAATGCATTCTTCCATCACATATACCTAATTAGAATAAATTAATTAATTAAAAAAAGAAATATGGCAAGGATACAAAGATGGGAAGTACGGAAAAAAGGAGCTATGGTGGAGGCATAAGGAAAATAGGAGGTCTGGGTATGCATACACATATTTAAACATTTCTCTGATAATAAGCAACTGATACAATTATAATTACTAAAGCAAATCTTAAGAAACTTACCTTCTGCTGAAGGGAGTAGACCTTTCTTGGTTTTGCATTTTTTTAGTTGTATAGGACGACCCAGTGTAATTTCTTCCAAGAAAGGTAATCTAAGGTCAGCTAAATTCTGGTACCAAGTCCTTGTAAGCACTGCAAGATCCCAAGGTTCCTGTCTGGGGCAAAAATTAAGTAATTCATTTAAGAAACACTTAAAGAACACATACTTTATGGAGTACAGAAGACATCTTGGTAGCCCCCCAGTTCTATTTGCCACATTTGGATTTCCATGCGGGTATTGAGGATTTTCCAGCCTGGAAAAGAAGCCTTGTGTTGAAAAAGGACCAGAAATTACAATTTCAGGAATTTTGTTTACAGTGCACCATCCCTGGAGTCAATCCAATCTCTCAATATAAGTGAATGTAGATAAGAACTGTGAGCTCCAAAGTCTTCAATGGCTAATTAAAATATTGTCAGATTAGGGAAGTAAAGAAGAGCATCATCATGTATTGAGTAAGGAATATGGCATACTCTAAGGTTTTAGGTGTGTAATCTGGGGAAGAATGAAACTTCAAACTACAACATTAAAAATAATCACTATGAGCTGGGCATGGTGGTGCATATCTGTAATCCCAGCAACTCAAGATGTTGAGGCTTACGAATCTCAAGTTCAAGGCCACTTCAGCAACTTTAGTGGGACCCGTCTCAAAATAAAATATAAAAAGGGACTGGGGATGTAGTTCAGTGATAAAGTACCCCAAGGTTCAATCCCCAGTACAAAAAAATAATAATGCATGAACCCTAAATAAATTATTTTATCTAGCTTAATACTGAAGTTAAAAAAAAATGTTACATGCTTCTCACTGCAGTCTAAGTGGGTTCCACCTCACATGCATGGAGAAATAGAAAGACTTGCTTGGAGCTGAGTAGTGGAAGCCACAGTGTTACACACCTGTTTTAGTGAGTTTCGGAACCTCTCTGACCAAAATACCTGACAAGAATAATTTTAGGGGAGGAAAAGTTTATTTGGGGCTCACAGTTTCAGAGGTCTCAGTCCATAAACAGCCACTCCATTGCGCTGGGCCTAAGATGAGGCAGAACATCAGGAAAGAAAGGCGTGGAGAAGAAGAACAGCTCAGAAGAGGGGACCAGGAAACGGAGAGATTGCTCTGCTCACCAGAGACCAAATATCTAGCCCAAAGTCAGCCCCAAACCCAACTCCTCTGGCCATAGCCTACCTGTCTAGTAGGTAGTTACCACTCAGTTAATCCATTCAAATGGGTGTAAGGCTCTCAAAACCCAATTAATTCATCTCTAAACTTCCTTGCTTTGTTTTATACGTGAGCTTTTGGGGGACACCTCATATCTTAAAACCATAATACCACCTAACTCAGCAAAATGTAATTGTAAGTTTTCTCTAATTTTCCTACTGCTCTGGTTTTATAACCCTTTAGGAAATCCCACTTACTTCTTAGGATATTAACAAGAAAAATTCACTTGACTCTAATAGTAAATATGTCATAAGCTGTGGCACAGGGGATAACTAAACAAATCCAAAAAAATATTTAATAGAATAGGCAGCACTATAACACCAGAGTAAAATACTGTTAGTTAGCAGCACGTGTTCATTATATGTTCTCTATATTCCAGGCAACCTGCAAGTTCTTGACATGCATTACTTAATTCACAATCCATACCACATAGATAGGCATTTTTATATCCATTTTACAGATGTGGAGTCAAGGCCAAGGCCCAGAGAAGATTTTCAGAGGGAGTCAGAACCCAAGTCCTCTTTTTTTTTTTTTTTTTCAGTACTGCAATGCTAGGGATTAAACCCAGGGCTTCATGCATACTAGGTAAGTTATCTACCACTGAGATACTAAGTTACGTTCCCATCCACACCCCATTTCTTTTTCTTTTCTTTTCTTTTTTTTTTGTTTGTTTGCTTATTTATTTTGTTTTGTTTTGTTTTGTTTTTGTGAAAGGGTCTCTTTAATCATCCCGATCACTGTTGAACTTTCAATTCTCCTGCCTCAGCCTACCCAGTGCAGAAATTACAGCTCCCAGGTCTTTTGCTCCACCATACCCAGCTCCTAGGTCTTGTTTTGCAAAGTAGTAGGTTCTTTCACTTCCTGCAAAGCATAAAGGCACTGAACTGACACTTTATGCCAACACTTTGTGCTCTAAGGTAACATCTGGCACCAGGATGTTTTTAAGTAAATTTGATCTCTCTAAAAATGTAATTTAAATGTTGTTTTGGAATAAGAAGCCTCAGATCACTATCCTGGTACTGCACTCTCAAAGATCAATGATTTGATCAAACTTCTTGAAACCTAAATTTTCTCATTTGTGTTACTTTGGTGTAAAGAGCAAGAAAGATCTTTTATATATTCTTATAAAAGCAGTTGCTTTTAAAAAACAAAATTAGCACCATACACTGGATAATACCTCCTATAGTCCAGTATCACATGAGGAATACAGGGGTATCCAGTATCTTTTTTTTAACAAACACTCCCCACCCCAATGGCTGCTTACTGTGATAAAAATACTTACACTTTATAACAACTGCACTGCAAAATGGTCTTCACTGTGTTCTTTCTTGGTAAGCCATAAGCCATGATGGTCCACAGTCCAATTTCCTTACATAGGTGCCTGATGTAATGTCACAGGTGTTCTGTTCACCTTGCCTGAAGATTGCAACATACGTAATTAATGGCTTTCACTTGAATTTTTTTCCTCTGTGTTGGGGATGGAACTCAGGGTCTTCTGCATGCTAAGCAAGAGCTCTATCACTATGCTACTCCTCAGCTCTCACTTGAATATTTTTATAGAAAACTAATAAAGATTCAGAGAAAGTATTTCTAAATTCAGAAGGGCCTTTTAAAAAAAAGTTCATTGAACCTAAACCTGAACTGTAAAACTTTTATTCTATTATTTCATTTTATCAACTCTTACTTTTTTATTATTATTATTATTGGAGCTTGAACTCAGGGGACCAGGGGATCTTAACCATTGAGCAACATGCTCAGCCCTTTTATTTATTTATTTATTGGGGAGGTGGGGGGGACAGGTACCAGGGATTGAATTCAGGGGCACTCGACTACTGAGCCACATCCTTACCCCTATTGTGTATTTTATTTAGAGAAAGGGTCTCACTGAGTTGCTTAGCACCCCGCTATTGCTGAGGCTGGCTTTGAACTCACAATCCTCATAGCCGCTGTCCCAGCCCTTTTTATTTCTTATTTTGACACAGGGTCTAGCTAACTTGCTTGGGGCCTCACTAAATTGCAGAGGCTGGTATCAGCCTCTGGAACTGCTGGGATTACAGGCGTTAGGCACCACCACGGCAGGCTCTTGCCTCCACTTTAGGAGAAAATATCAGGCAAGATTTGCCCTCCTGTACTTCATTTCTCTCCCTTTTTTTTTTTTCCCCCTCTTTCCCTTCACCTCCCTTATACCACTTGAATCAAATGTATGAAATATGATATGTCAAGAGCTATGTAATGTTTTGAACAACTAATAAAAAATTAATTAATTAATTAATTTTTAAAAAAAGATTTGCCCTCCTGAATGGGGGTTTCTTTAACTGCATCAGTGTTTGTTATGGCATTTTGTCATTGCATATCAAAACAATACAATCCCTGCATCACACAATGTGTGTGCTTATAGCAGTACTAAACCATAAATGGCTCTCCTGGCACAGAAACTTCTTGCCATCAGCCCGAGACCTTCAAACTAATCAACCCTTCCCAAATTTTCCCTCAATCAAAAACCAGGTGAATTTAAATCAGGTGATGAAAGTCTATAATTGAAAACGAGCTACTCGGGAGGCCAACGCTGGAAATTCCAGGCCACCCTGGACAATTCAGAGACCCTGTCTCAAGATTAAAACATAAAAGGGGCTGGGAGGTAGCTCAGTTGTACAGCCATTGCTCCGCATGCTCGAGGCCCTGTCAATCCCCAGCACCGCAACCGAACAAAAGTCTGAATTTAAAATGTGGCCAACTCTGAGTGAGCATCATTGCTGGGTCCCGCCCTTGCACACGGATTCTGGCAAGTCTCCTTCCCTTCCCTGGACTTGCAGTTCCTGGTAGGAACCGGTTCCCGGGAGAGGTGGAGGCCCCTGCAGCCGCGGGGCAGGAACGAGGAGGCAAGAAACGGGCTGGACCTCGCATCTTCCCACGCCTGAGCTCCACCCTTCCTCCGCCTCGCCTCAAAAGCTCAGCGGGCGCGCCAAGGCCGGGGGGCGCGGGGCGGGTCCGCGGCACCTCGGGGCCTGGTCCCCGCGAGCCGGCCCCGGCGGCCTCGTTACCCGGGCTCGTGGGTCTCCGCGGCCGCGCTCCCCCGAGGCCGAGCGCGCGCGGGCTAGGTGCACATGGCCGCGCACACGCCGCGGGCACACGACTCCTTTCCCGATCGCCGGCTCTAGCTGCGGATGGCGACCAGGGCCGAGGCAGGGCGACCCTGCGTCACGCGGAAACCTCAATAAAGGGCTTTATGGTGCCAGTCCCGCCCCCGGGGTTGGCTCCGGCGGGGCCCTAGGGTTACCGCGCCGAGATGGGGCTCAGGCTCCACCGAACAAAACCAGCGAGCAAGCTGGGGTCTTTCCTTGAAAAAGACACTTTCCAACGTCAGTGGGTGTACCCGACTGATTTGGTGTTGGGGCTTACATTGGGGGCACCACTGGGGGGAAAATTTGTACCTAGTTCAGACATGTTCACTGTGGGCAATCGTCACCTTGACGATAATAGTTCACACGCTCTAGTGGATAAAGGTAGTTTTATGCGCTAGAACTCCGAAGGTTTACGTGGGATCTTTCATATTCCTGTTAAATAAAAGTCGACAGGATCAGTAAAGTCATTAGTCATTAGTTAGTATGAGTCCATATTTTAATACATCAGATCGTCAGCAAATAAGGTCACGTGAAAATAGCTTACACTGTCATTCTGCGTGAGGGTTTTGGAGGCAGAGCTGGGTTGGAGTTGTAGCTCTGACGCTTGCTAACTTTAAGATTTTGTATAAGTCACTCCTCTAAGTCTCAATTTCTTCACCTACAAAAAAGGGGATTCTTCTCCATACCTTAGGGGGTTGTTGTGAGAACTAAAGATCATGCCTTTAGATTTCTCTGTGACAAAAGGGTGTAATTGTGAGACTAGTAGCAACTCTATGAAACAGGCAAAGGGGACACTACTTATTCCAATTATACACAGGAGGAATGAGCTGGGAGAGGTTAGAGGACTGAGCAGTCACAGAGTAAGCTCCAGAGCCAACTTTTGAAGTTAAACAGAGCAACCTCTTTACCTGATAGGCTGCTTCTGATCCTAGCTCCTGCCTGATTAGAAGAGAATCACAGGAATGATTCATCTGTAGAAGGTGATTTTGTGCCTGCCAGAAACAGAGTGAGGAATCTCTGGTTCTTCAGTGTTTCTGTTTTAGTTCCAGTGGAAATGAGCACCAAGGAGTGAAAGTGTGTGTGTGGATTTTGTTTTGTTTTGTTTGGGGAATTGAATCCAGGGCCACTGTACCACTGAGCTACATCCCCAGTCCTATTTATTTATTTATATTAATTTTGAGACAGGTCTCACTATGTTGCTTAGGACCTTTAAAGTTGCTGAGGCTGACCTTGAACCTGGGATCTCTTTCTTCAGCCTCCTAAATTGCTGGGATTACAACCATGTGCCATCATGCCCAGCTCGGGTGTTGATTTTTAGCACAATGAATGATGAAGCCCTTATTGATTGTGAAACCAAAGTAGTAGATTCATTTCAAAGAAGGAGCATAAAATGGAGAATAAAATGAGGATACATCATACAAACATTGTAAGAAAGTACTGTTTGGTGGAGCTTTCATTTCTGTCATGTGTATATAATACATATGTGTTCATTCACATATATAATGCACATACATGAATATTTTTGTGTGTTGGGTTACAATGTAAAATATAATTTTTAGAGTGGGTCTAAAAGTTGAAATCTACTGTCTTAGATCATTTTATGTTAGAGATAAAGAGGTGTTTTCTGGAGACACACCAGATAGAACAGAAAAGGCCTCCTTAGAGTGAAAGTACTTAATAAATACCTGGACTATTCTCCTTCATAGATGAAAAACTCTCCATGGAAATGATGTGATGGGTTCAGGACCACACCAAAAGAAATCAATCAGTTTGTGATTTTTTTGTGTGTGGGAACTGTTTCCTGACTATGTATAAGATCCCTGAAATTGTGTTCAGTCATTTCCTTTGTGACTCGCTTTGGACAAATATGATGGAAATTACTGCATATGACTTCTGAGGTGAGGTCTTAAAAGGTATTGTGGCTTCCTGGGGCACTCTGGGAGACACCAGCTGTTATGCTGGGAGGACACTCAAACTGTCTTTTGGAGAAATTCATGTGCAAAGGTATTTTGAAGCCTTTTGCCACCCACAATGTGAATAAATCATCTTGGCAACAGATGCTTCAGGTCCCAGTCAAGCTTCAGATAACTACAGTCCCATTGTAGTTACATACTTCATGAGAGATCCTGAGTCAGAAACACCCAGCTAAGCAGCTCCAGGATTGCTGGCCCTCAGAAAATAGAAGATAATAAATGTTTATTGTTTTAAGCTACCAATTTTGGGGGGAAGTGTTACATGTCAATAGATAACATTTAATATACCATTAAATGTCTCATTGTAGAAGGAATATTTTACATAGATGAAAATGATTTTATTTTTACAATTGAGATTAATGGTACAATAAAAATTAACAGTAAGCTACATTTCTATGTGGCTAATTTTTCTAAATCCAGAATCACTTAAGATCCTTAAATATTGTCAATAAAAAAAATATTCACCACTCCTCCACAGATGTTTACAAACAAAAACAATAAATTTTGTAAACGGTGGAAGGCTGTTTAATAAAGGTCTCATTTCCCCCACAATGACTATTCTAGTATTTTCTTTTGAAATAAAAAGTTCTAAAAATCTCGTCTGGCCTCCTCCCCACCTCCTGTCCCCTCCTCACCCTTTCCTCCCTCCCTCCTTTTCTATGTCTGTTTCCATGTCTGTCTCTATCCATCTCTCTCCTCTTGCTTTGCTGGCTCTACACATGTCTTCCTTTTAGATGAGATTTCATTCACTGGTTTCATCCCTTTCAAAAAGTTAGCATTTGTCGGTTTAATTTATTAGGAGAGCATTGCTGCCACCTACTGTTAAAACTAAGGTTTAAGGAAGAATGCAAAGAAACAACACAAAAACATAAAATGTGATAACTTGGACTATGTTTTGGGTGCTGTTCAATGTGTTTCATAATCATTGTCTCAATGATCACACAACAAATGTTACAGCTAGCTTAGTGATAGGATTACAAAGAAGAAAAAACTGAGGCACCTTCAGCATTAATGATTTTTTTTAATGTCACAGAATTTGAACCCAAGACTACCTGATTCTGACTTCTGTGCTTTCTCTCTCCACCACACTATACATTCTCCAGAATGATTCTTAAGGCGAGGATTTTAGGTAATTTACTTATAAATGCTTTTGAAATTGTCCTTTTCAAATATTCTGATGAATATGAATAGTTGGCCTAATTTCAAAGAGCACGAAACTGTTTATATCTTTGAACTTTGTGTGCAAATCACA